ATCCACGCACAGCGAAGATTTACAAGATACCCCCGTAAATACTACTTTTCCAAAGCCGCTGTTATGAACTCCTCATCAACCTCGTCAGCCGGCCCTCCAGTGTCCTGAACAACGACAAGATATTCACAAGCAGTGTTGGAATGTATACTCCCTCACTAACTATACAAGTTTGCATACGATTTCGGGTCGAAATTTACGGAGACCAGCAAGAGTTCTCCCCAAGTTTCCTCATAATCTCCTAACTGTCACCAAGCCTATCATCAAGCCGCTCAGCAACAGTGCATCATCCAGTTGTGACCGCGCGCCACGAAATTACTAGATACCAGTAACCATGCTTACCTTGCTATTCAAGAGCCACTTGAGCTCATCCTCCACCCCTCGCAATACCTCAGCCGACTGAATATCTCCCAAGAGGCCTTCTATAGAGGCATCCTCTATTCCAAGGCCACTCGTTGGAGCCACTGATGAAGAATGAGATTGGTGTGGTAAGGTAGCACCACCAGACACGTCTCGACCCACACCTCGGACTAGTGGGGTAAGAAGTCTTCACACCAAAGAGATTCCCCTTCCCTATTATCCCATAACTACGTTTGGGTCCAGCCTCGGTCTTAGCAGCTAATTGTTCCTTCACTAGAGCCAATACGCAGTGCCAATAATCTGCCTCCTCGCCTCGCCCTCTGTCTCGAGCCGCTCGCTCTAAGTCGCCGATATGGACAGCCGAGGTCGCCAGCTCACTCGGTGGTAGACTCTGGGAAAATATGGGTCAATGCAGTTCATTAGAGTGATAGTAAAAACGCCACTCGCGAGGATCGAACCCACGACCATCTCCATATCCTACCGCAATAGTATCAGTCACCAGTGGCGACTCCAATATCGTACAGTCATCATATGGGTACTTCTCTACCCCCTTGCTAGCCAGCAACAACTCCTTGTAGAGGTAGTCCTCAAGATGCTCCGTATTAGTCTTGATACGGAGCGAACATCGCAACGCCGCTTGCGACTGACACAACCAACACAGT